TAGTTTCTTTTATATAGTTAGGTACGAAGAGTTTAAATTAAATTTCTAATCTAGATTAATTATGACCAAATATATTTCCTGATTACTGAGCATGATCTTTAAGTACTTTTAATATATATATATATATATATATATATATATATATATATACTTATTTAACAATGTAAACTCAATTTTATTAAAAAATAATAAAAGAATTTAAAATTATAACACAACTAAATATAAAAAAATGAGATAATTGTCGCAACCGTCTTTCGGGTGGGCCCGAAATTGGACTTCGACTTGAATAAAAATGTTAGAGCCGCCACCAATCATTTAAAAAATATTTAGGTTGATCGGACACCATCTTACCTATCTGCGTTTTACCAGAAATATGTTGGATTCGAGAATCGGTTACAGTCAAGGAAGGATTAGCACCCTTGAACTGCCCTTTCGATACCATTTTAATTCGTCGATTTTCTTAATTGTGAAAATTTAAATTTAAATTTAAAGATTCGAATCGAATTACTTAGCTCTGATCGATAAAAATTGCCTCTATAAAAAAGGGTGTCAAAACTGAAGTTAACTAAAAAAAGGTAAAATGAGGGTTAGAATAAAACAAATAAAAATTAAGCTAAGTTAAATCAAAGTTAAATTAAAAGGAATAAAACAACATTCAAATTAAAAGGATTATATTGTGAAAAAATTGAAATTAAGGTACTAAATTGATATTATTTAAAAGCTGTAAGAAATAATATAAAGTTAGGAGGGTTAATTGCAAAATGTAATAAATTTAAAGGATTAAATTGAATAAATAAAAAATTAGGAGGGAAAATTGCACATGGTGACCAAAACGAATTACGCATCAAAATATCTAGGGCTGCATAAATAATTTAACTATTAGCTAATTACACAATGTCCCCTATAAATAGCCCCTAAAACCCAAAATAACATTCATTTTACTCATTTCTCAAATTCAAACTCCTCTCCCCTTTCTCTAAGCTCTCTTCACACTCCTTCAGCCGCCGGTCGAATACATACCAACCTCCGATGAAGTCCTCCGCCGTCGACCGCCTCTCCAGCCACCGTCTCCGGTGGTCGGAAAAATAAAAAATACCCAAAGTGTTCCTTTTAAGCCCCGAATTCTATCTCGAGCTCTAAATCCCCAAAACTAACCCTAAATAACATAGATCTAAAAAAATAACATTCAAATACTACTTTTTCTGATGATTCTCTTCGGTTTTCGGCGGCTCCTCCTCATCTGAACCATGACTGAAACTGTTTTCTTGGGCTCTTTGTGATTTTCCGTGAATCATGCGAACCGTTTCACTCGGTTTTTGCTTGATGTTTATGTTGCTTTTCCGTTTCAAATGCTTCGTTTTCTTTGTTGTGTATTGTGTTTTTTTGCTTGGTTGGTGTTTTGATTTTTCAGTGATGTTTTTCGGTTACTTGGTTGGCTCTCGATCGATTGTTGTTGTTGTCTGGTGTGCCTCACCGGAGGTATTTATATAACTCTGTTAACTTCTTAAAAAGGCAACTTTTAAGGCATTTTTCGCTTAAGTTATTGTTTGTTTAAAAGCTCATTTTAGGCATTTTAGGATCATGTAGTTGCATATAGCTGTATTTATGGTAGTAGTGCTATTTTATTTCTTAATGATGCTGCTTGAGGGAAAGGTGCAGTTTGTCTATGGTGTGCAAGGAATAGCAAGCAAAAAGGATTCGATGGGAAGTAATGTCACGGCATCACACGTTGCTGAAGCAGATTGAATTGCCTTGGCATTTTTGGCGCAGAAAACGACAAAAAGATACAACTGTACGAGGACAGCTGGCTCTGCACGTGAAATGATTGCTGTAACCGCCTGCCAGAGCTGCTATGGGACCACTGCCACCTGAAGGATAAGATTCATGCTTATGGTGTGATTCTAGGGGTATGAGGGGTATTTTGCACCCAACAACCTCATCATTACCCATAGATATTTTTATTATATATTACACCTCAAGGGAGACACTAGAGAAAAAAAGAGGCACACACACAGAGCAGAAAAAAATCAGATTTTTATTTCCTTTTCTTCTTCCTTGGGTTTTCCTCCATTGATAAAGCTCCAAGGAGTGGTGAGCTAGGTGCCGAGAGGAGCTAGCGAGCTAAGGTGATTCGTGGTGGCCGAGGAGACCTCCGGTGGCGCGTCAAAGGCTACTTCTCACTTCCCTTTTTGTTACTATTTTTCTATTTATTTGTGGGTTGTTGGAACAAATATTTGCATGACTTTGTGTTTGGATATTTCGAACCCTACCATGAATTAACTTATTTGGTGGTGGTTGGTTTAATGGATGTTTAGACTTTATTTTAATGATATATTTAAGTTTATTTTGGTTCTTTATTTGCTTTGCTTATGAATGCTTCACCATCTAGGCTTGTAAGAGGCATGCAAATGTCCATTTCTTAGATGAAGTTTAGGTATTCGGGAGAAACCTAAGTTAAAAATACTTGTAAGTATTCGAGAGAACCGCAAGACAAGATCCTCATAAGCAATAGGTTATAATATTTTCAAGGGGATTTGAACCGACCTAGGGATATTATAACCTAATCCCTTAGATCTCAGGAGAGACTAGGATAGGATTTCAATGACTAAAAATAGAGTCTTTATCAATAGGGTAGGCTGGCCAACATCGTTGAGTGAGAGAAGATGCCTTGGCATCCTATTCTGTTAGATTCCTTTGAGAACATTTTAGGAAAGCCCTGTCGAGCAAGTAAAGATTAGATAGCTTAAATATGCCTGAGAGATAAGTTTAGCATCCTTAGATCAATCCCTACCATTCATTCAATTGGAAGCTTGTCACGTGAGGATTATCTTCTTTTCATTTTATTTGCTATTTATTTACTGTTTATTTACCATCTTTCATTGCCTCGACATTACACCATTTTCAACACTAAACATCTTATCTTGCCACTACATTTCCATATGCTACACCGTCAGACCATTCATCTACATCCACCTTCATACACATTTTCATTTGCCGTGACATTTGTATATATAAAGGCTAACTATACATAGATAGATTAATACTTAGCTTTGGTCAGACCTTTGTAATTTCGCCCAATCCATGTGGAGACGATACTCACTCATCATTATATTACTTGAGCGATTGTGTATACTTACACATTATTTGCGTATATTTTATAGTACTCACACACGCGGACAAACTCCTTCGGGGGTCTGTTGCTGATATTGAAGGGTTCGTTCCCCTCGTTTCAGGCTTACCATTGTTCACGTGGCCGGGAATCCCGGGATGGTGCAATCCCGATTTTCAGGGCCAACCGATTCTTCTTTAATTGGGACTTCGGTTGCATGATCGTTGGATTGGGTCAGATCCAAAGGTCCAGATCTGACTGCGCGATCATATATCTCGTTAGGGTTTTGTTACCCTCAGTTTGCTTCGATCTTGGCCGTTCGTTCGTGCTTTGATTGCACAGTTCCTGTCTGTGCGGTATTGTAGCTAAATGTGAAAACCCTAATTTCTTTTGGGCTGGGTCAGCCCCCTAACCGAGCTAGTTGGCTGGGTCAGGCATGCTGGTTCGGTTGGGTTTGTTTTGGACTTGGACCAAAAAATAAAAATAAAAATAAATAAATAAATATAATGTAAATAAAAACAAAAAATTTACTTTTTTTTAAAACCTATATACAAATTTTTGAAAACGTTTTTTTTTCAAATTATATATTATATATATTTTTAAAAACGTTTTAAAACTATATATATTTTAAAAAATGTTTTCAGAAGTATATATTATATATATTTTCAAAAATATTTTCAAAACTATATACTATAGAAAAATTCTCAAAACTATATATTATATATGTTATATGTATATTAAGTAAAATCCCAAACGAAAATGAGTGACTACTATAATAATAACAACAAAAAACTCATAATAAAACAAAAATATTAAGTAAAAAAATATGAAGGAAAAAAACTCTAACTTTCTCTTGGGAATGACGTCCAACATAAAAATAATTTAATAACCTTCATAAAAATTCATTGTATTTATCAACGAGATGATTTATGAAGTAATAAATAAAGGTGAATGAATCAAACTAAATTGCAAGTTGCTTCGCTACACAATTTTGTTTATATCGACAAACAATTTTTTTTACCAAAAAGGGGATCTTACTATATATGACTATTGATAAATCAATTAGGAAATAAATGTCGTGAGGATCTTTGTGCGGGTACCAAAACGACCGCAAGTATACAAAAAATATACTAAAAGTCATAAGGAACGTGCTACAAGAGCAGAGAAAAAATTATGCTACAAGAGCAGAGAAAAACGTATCACAAGAGCAAAGAAAAGTGTGTCACAAGGACAAATGATATAGTATGAAAAAAAATAAGAGAACTAAAAATTATCGTCATTTGACAATCAACATTAAAATGGATGATGTCGTCAATTAAAATAAAAAAAGAGAGAATACGATGATACAAAAATATTAAGAAAAATTTTAGATTAGAAAAAAAAAATCGTCACTGTTTAATTATCGTAAGCACTTATAATTTTATATTAAAAAATTATTGTAATTGAATTATTTAAGTTTTAGATCATTATCAATAGTTAATAAAGACAATCAATTTTAATAATATTATTAACATTTTCAATAACATCATTATTTTTAATAAAATAATGATGCATATCAAAATATATTTGATAAAAATAGAAATAATTAATCATTAGATATAGTTTTCACATGAAGTCTTTTTATAAGGTATTTAATATATAATTGAGAGATAAATAATTTTGCAACGTCAACATTACCATTAAATTTTAATTAGTGACATGTGAATATCACCTTTAAATTTGTACTGATAGAGTATCAAAATGAAATTTAAATTAAACAGTAAATATGATTTTGAAAAATAAATAAAGTTTAGGTACAAAAACAGACCAAAAATAATAAATTTGGTGCTAAACGTGTAGTTTACCAATAAAAATAAAATAACAAACTGTTTTCCAATTCTCCGCGCGCCTCTCCCGAGCAAACTTAACTGAATCCTACAGACTTTCAGCAAAAGATCTGTGAACTCATTTTTCCAAAATTTTCTTCCTTCTTTTTAATTTTGATGATCTCCTCCTTCAATCTGCAATTCTCATTTCATTTTAAAGGGAAAGAACAGGGGGAAATGACGCGTTTATTCACTTTGCTCTTCGTTTTCGTTCCGTTTCTCAACCTTTCCTCCGGCAAAACTCTCAAACGCGACGGTTATTTTCCTCGTTTCTTAATTAAAACTGTTTTTTTTTTTGTCTTTTTCATTGGGGTATGGTTTCTTTATGGCAGTTAAAGCATTGAACGAAATAAAGGCGTCGTTAGGGTGGAGAGTAGTTTACGCTTGGGTCGGTGACGATCCCTGCGGCGACGGGAATCTGCCGCCCTGGTCTGGTATCACCTGCACTCTCATGGGTGACTATAGAGTTGTCACCGAATTGTAATTATCATTTTTCATATCTATTTTTCAATTTCTAATCAATTTCATTTCTCCTTTGTTTTAAAATTAAAATAATTTGCTTCGTTTTAATTTGCAGGGAAGTTCATGCAGTGTCGATCGTGGGGCCGTTTCCCGTTCCTGTCACAAAATTGTTCGATCTTACGAGACTGTACGAATATAATTAATCTTTTCATTAGCAGTTACCATTTAATTATAACAAATTCTTTCTTCTTTTTCCAAGTGAATTTAAACCTATTAAATTGTTGCTTATTACAGTGATATGCATAATAACAAGCTGACCGGACCGATTCCTCCTCAAATCGGGCGGCTCAAACGCCTTAAAATACTGTATGTTGGTTTGTTTCAAAACTAGATTATGAGATAATGAGTAATTTTTGCTACTCTAGACTTTGAATTCATGTCACTTCTTTAATTATCTGTTTTTGTTGTAGTAATTTGAGATGGAATAAGCTACAAGATGTTCTTCCTTCTGAAATTGGCGAGCTTAAGAGTCTAACACATCTGTAAGCAACACCTGGAAGGTTTTTTTTCCTTCACATTATGATATTCAAAATTATTGCTTCCTACTAACCGGAAAATTATGTAGGTATCTGAGCTTCAACAATTTTAAAGGGGAGATCCCAAAGGAGCTTGCGAGTCTACCGGAGCTTCGTTACATACATCTGCATCAAAACCGGTTTTCAGGCCGGATTCCAGCAGAGTTAGGCACTTTGGAGAAACTTCAGCACTTGTAAGATAACTGCTCCTTAAAGTTATCTGTTCCGCTGGTACCTCATATTTTAACACCGTATGTTCATAGGGATGTCGGGAACAATCATTTGGTGGGTACTATAAAACAACTCATAAGCCTGTATGGTTGTTTCCCATCGCTTCGAAACCTGTAAGTTTATCATGTATTACAATTTTTGCCATATTGAATGAATGGCTAATTGCAGCAACATTTCCCTGTAGTTACCTAAACAATAACTACTTAACGGGAGGAATTCCGGCGAAGCTAGCAAGCTTGACCAATTTGGAAATCTTGTAAGTAAAGTGCTTTAACCAGCTTTGACATTGGAATGGAGCTCGCCTGGTGTTTGGATACCTTTTTACACAGATAGAATACTCCGGTCTAACTCGAATTTCCGTTACTCGATATACTGGTTGCAGGTACCTATCCTATAACAAACTTTCAGGAGAAATACCATCTAGCATTGTTCATCATCCTCAGTTGACATCTTTGTAAGTTTGTTCGAAATTGCTGATTCATTTGCAATGCATTTGTGGTTTATTCCAGCTTTCTGAGCTAATTATGCATTGATGCATTTATAAGCTACATTCGATCTAATTGGATCTGCAGGCATTTAGATCACAATCAATTTGTAGGAAGAATTCCTGAAAAACTCTATAAGCATCCCTTCCTGAAAGAAATGCAAGTTTTCTTCAACTCTCCCTTCCTAGTAACTTACAACTCTTTCAATGTCTATGAATTGACAATTCATCGAACTTGTTTACAGGTACATCGCAGGAAATTCGTTCCAGAAAGGAGCAAAATCCATCGGTGTCCCTAAAGTCCTGGAACTTGCTGATTCGGAGTTCCTAGTTTAGAGTCCAAAGAGCTATATGGAATTCCTTATTGTTTATATCAGTTGTGGAATTTTTGTTTATATTTGTCAAGACACTGGTTCTTCTAGTTTTCTAGCAAAGGAAATAAACAGATTTACATCGAGACATATTTAAAAATAAAAAACTAGATTGTCAGTTTCTTCCATAATAGATAGAAGCAACAGACAATTTTCCATTGGCCAAGGTAAGGAATGGCAAAATGCAGGCCTAAATCACCAACATTGAACTGAGAAAAAGAGATCAGGCAACAAGCTATTAGCATGTTTATGCTATTGACATGGATTCAGAGCTAAAGGTGCATGACTCTTACCCCACTATGGATCCATAGAAATCTAGGGACATTTCTATATTCATTCTTTAACAGATGCCTGATCGCAAGACTCTTCATTCGCACTGCCATTCGGCTGTAGGTACTCTCCCCCTCAAAAAAGAAGAAGAAGAAGCTGTTTTCTAGTTATATTTGTAATGCTCGACAGTAACTGCTGCAATGAATAAGGGCTCGGACCTGTAAAATGTAATTGCTTGTCCAACTTATCCAAAATGGAGTATATTTCCTCCAATTGGTAGGTGGCTGTTCTCCCCAGCAATGAACTCATGAACTTCCCCAATGATCTTGATAGAGCTGCAACCTGGCGCCTTATTCACTCCACGGTTTTTCATCATCTGTTTTATTCTTTTGGCATCATAATGTTTCCCGGAGGATGCATATAGATTCGAGAGCAATACGTATACGCTGCTATGATCTTCTAGTTGCATGAGCTTCTCAGCGGCAAACTCAGCCCGTTTAGTTTGTTTGGTATTACAGTACGAACTCAACAATGCTCTCCAGGCAATAGCTTCATCAGAGGGATTGCTTGAATCCGACATACTTTGAATTATTTGATTAGCTTCTTCAAAGAGCCCACTGCGGACAAGTAGGTCAATTATGCACCCAAAATGTTCACTTTTAGGCTCGATGTATACACGTTACACATTCTATCGAGTATCCTCAGACCTTCAAATGCATTACCAGAATAACTACAAGCACTAAAAAGAGCTATAAAAGTAATGTCATCAGGTCTGACTCCATCTTTCTCCATTTGCCTAAACTTTTGAATTGGACTTTCTCCATCTCCATGCATCTCCAGCCCAGAAATCATAACGTTCCAGCAAACATCTCTTTGCTACATTTCATCAAACAGCTTTTTAGCAATATCCAAATTCCCGCATTTTGCATACATATCCTCAAGACAGGCACTCAAACTAAGACTCAATGGGAACTTTTGTTGATCCATATATTTATGAATCCAAATCCCAGTATCTAAAGCACTAATATTAGCACAGGCACTAATAACACTTACACATATAGCCTCATCAGGCTCTATATCACTCATTTGCATTAGCCTGAACATATAAAGACCCTCTTTAAAGCAATTATTTTTAACATATCCAGATATCATGCCCCCCCAAATTCCTCTATCCTTCACTGGAGCCTCATTAAAAAGCAATTTTGCAGTGTCAATATCACCCATTTGCACATACCCAGAAATCATCACTGTCCATGAAACAACATCTAGCCTGGGAATCTCGTCAAAGATGCACCTTGCTACTTTGACATTATTAAACCCACAGTACATAGAAATCAAAGCATTACCCACAAAAATATCAAACACAAAACCCAATTGCAAGCAATGACCATAAATCAATTCCCCAGAGTAAAAAAACTGCAACTTTGCACAAGCTTTCAACGCGAAAGGCAAAGTATAATTATCAGGGTAAATGCCTTTACTCAACATGCTGCTGTAAAATTGGAGGGTTTCACCTTTGAGAAAGAAAGCTTTGATCATGGTGTTGCAGATACAAATTGTGGGTTTCTGAATGTGTTTGAAGAGGTTGCAGGCGTAGGTAAGGCTTTCATGTTCTGGGTTTGAGCAAAATGCTAAGAGCCTGCATAAAGCAAAGGTATTGGTGCCTATACCACACGTCATTGGTTGTGCATGAGCTTGCTTTAGTTGCTTCATGTTCTTGCATTTCTCCAAAAGTTTTAGGCATCTCTTGCTACTGCTTGACATGAGTTCAATTAGCAACTTAGTTTTACAACACCAAAGGTTGTATTTCTGAAATGGTTTCTGGATTTCGCTTTGGGCTTTTCCAATTTACAATACGCTTAATGAAAGAAAAAGTGACCGAACTATTCCTAAGTTAATCTTAGTTATATAAAGAATATTTTTGTTAAAAATACGGGACTAATAATTTTTTTGTTACACTTTTAATATTTGATCTGTTATAACTGTTAAATTTAATCGTTATTTGACATATGATAAATTTATAAAATTTTAATATAAAAATCTAAATTGCTTTAAAATTAAAAAAACCTTAAAATCTTTGATTTCAAATTTTATTTTCAGTCGTTGTCGGTCATCTCTGATCACCACTTTCGTTACCAAACGACCACCTACTTGTTACTACTCATTGATTAATCAGCGTATTTATTACAACAATAATAACAACAAAACCCTATTCCCATATGCAATGGGGCAAGGGGGAGGTAAGGTAGTAGACTGACCCTAACGCAAGGTTGAGAGCAGCTTCCGTGTAAGACCTCTGGCAGTCAGAAAAATTAAAAATAAAGATAAAATGCAATGAATGTATAAATAAAAAAATAAATACATAGTTGAACATTCTTCATATGTAGTCTTCATAAGCGCGTCTGAAATGGGAAGTAATCCCTGCAAATAAATCCCTGTGTAAAAATCTATGCATATAGACAGAAACGTAAGACCCGACTAAATTTAAAAAAAAGAAACCTGAAAAGAAGGATACACAGAAGTCAACGATAGCAAGCTACGAGAAGGAATAAAGTCAAATGGGTTAAAACCTACACTAAGGCAATACTACTCTGCTACCCTAGTTCTAAGCCTTCATAAATTCCAATGACAAAAACGTATAAAAAATAGAAGTCATGAGAATTACTACAAAGGCATTAAAAAGAAGACATAGATATTACACCGTAAGGTTGTGACACGCACTACTCGGCTACCCTGGTCTTAAGTCTCCATACTTTTCTATCAGAGGTCATGCCCTCGGTAAGGGCTAAATCCTTCAAATCAGATCTCAAGCAGTCTTCTCACTTCCACCTTGGTCGTCATCTCCTTCTGGCACCGTCGACTGTAATCGACTCTACCCTCCTGACCGCATCCGACGGTTGTCACCTAAGGACATACCCAAACTACTGTAGTCTTCCCTCCCTCAATATTTCGGATACAAGCACCACTCCCAAGGACATCCTAATGGTAGAGTTTGGTGTCATGTCCTACATAGTCCTACCACATGCCCATCGAAGCATTATTATTTTAGGGCCTCCATCCTTCTTACGTGATCCTTCTTGATTGCCCAACATTCTGATCCATACAGCAGCGCTGGTGTTATTGTCATTCTATAAAATTTTCCCTTAAGTTTTAGAGGCACATTCTTGTCACACAAAACTCCAGTAGCAACCCTCCACTTTAGCCATCCCGCCTTTATACGGTGTGTAACGTCATCATCTACACCTCCATCTTTATGTATCATAGACCCTAGGTACTTGAAACAATCCTTTGAGGGGAGAACTTGTCATTCTATGCATACAACTACATCTTCATCGTTTTGGTTCCTACTGAAGTTTGAACATAAATACTCTGTCTTTTCAATATTGATCCTTAGACCTTTTTCTTCCAAAGCAATCTTCCAGGTAGCCAGTCTACTATTCAGTTCAGTTTTTGTTATAGCAACTAGGACAATGTCGTCAGCGAAAAGCATACACCATGGAACACCGTCTGATGTCGCACAATAGATGTCGTCCATAATCAAGGCGAAGATGTAAGGGCTAAGAGCCGACCCCTGGTGGAGTCCGATTTCTACCAGGAATGCCTCGGTGTCGCCAACTGTAGTCCTGACGTATGTAGTAGATCTATAGTATATATCACGAATCTACCGGATATAAGCAGTTGGGATCCGTCTCGTTTCCAAGGTCTTCTAGATCGTATCGCGGGGCACGCTATCATACGCCTTCTCAAGGTCAATGAACGCCATGTGAAGATCTCTATTTTTTCCCTATATTTCTCCACAAGCCGTCGAAGTAGATGAATCGCCTCCATAGTAGGCTTCTCTGGCATAAAGCCAAATTGGTTTTTCGAAACCCTAGTAACCTGTCTCAACCTAGCCTCTATCACCCTTTCCCATAGCTTCATGGTATGGCTGAGTAGTTTAATACCTCTGTAGTTGCCACAACGTTGGGGATCTCCTTTATTCTTATAAATTGGTATCACCGTATACTCTATCCACTCCTCTGGCATCTTGGTAGTCTCTAAAATAATATTAAAGATGTTGGTCAACCACTTAACTCCCTCTTCTCCTAGGGCCAACCACACAGTGATAGGAATTTGATCTAGACCGACAACTTTATCCCTCCCCATTTTTCTAAGAGCCATTTTGACTTCTTCAAACCCAATCCTACTTGTAGGGCAGTCAATTGCCGTAGTATGATGGTCGCCTGACACATCAACGATATTATCTCTACAGGGAGAGGCACCGTCATTAAATAAGCCAAAGAAGTAACTACCCGAAACCATCTTAATATCATGATCTTTCACTAAAAGAACACAATTGTTGTCCTTAATAAACCTAATGTTACCTAGATCATTTTTCCTATTTTCCCTGGATTTTGCAAGCCTGAAGATGCCGTTTTGTCATTCCTTGGTGTCTAATCTCTTGTACATTTCCTCGTATTTCTTATCCTTTGCTTTAGCCACTGTTTTCTTGGCTTCCCGCTTTGCCTCCTTGTATCTTTGTTTAGCTCTCGATCTTTCTTCGTCGTCATTGCATTGTAGAAGCTCCTTGAAGCAAGTTTGCTTTGTCTTCACCTTAGTTTGGACTTCGTCGTTCCACCACCACTATTCTTTATGTTCCTTAAGCTTCCCTAACGATAACCCAAGGGTGTTTTTGCCCACCTCTTTGAGGGTATTTGCCATATTTTTCCATAGCATATCTGCATTATTTGAGTTTGTAGTTCCAAAACCTGTATTAGACAAAACCTTACTCCTAAAGTCATCAGCTGTCGCTCCATGTAAGTTCTTCCAAAGGATCCTAAGTTTACCAAGTTTAGCCCTCCTATGAGTGCTCCGCCTGTGGCAAACACGGAACACC